CTGGTCAGTTAAGTGCCGAAGGGGAGGCTGGTGCGTCTCCTGCGTTAGGCATTCTTCTAGACCGTGGACAGGAGCAAGGCAGCCTGGGGTATAGCACCTCCTTGGTTAGATCGCTTGACCAGTCAGATGTCAGAGATGATGGAGGGATGGCGCTTGACCTAAAAATGCGAGGTCACCCAGTAGCCGGCAAGATAGGTGAAGATACAGGCATGTCTGCCAGCAAATATGGAAGCTCAAGGTTCGATCATCCGGATCCTGACCCTTTAGGGTTTAGACCCGACCCGAGTAATCCCAGCCAAGACTTGGCCCGACCCTTTAGGATTTAGACCTGACCCGAGTCATCCCAGCACCAGCGTGGATCCTAACCCCCTACGGTTTAGACTTGGCCTCAGTGCCAGTAGTCCGATTCTCTCCCCTGATCCAGTAAGGTTTAGTCCTCATCCCGGGTCCTCCAGTGAAGAGACCGGATGTGAGACTGAAGGTGATGCCACGGTGTGTGGTCTTCCGATAGCAGCGTTGTTATGCAAGGCTATCCGCCTCGGGCAAGAGGCAAGGAAGGAAGAAAGCGTTGAGGTTGCGGTGGAGGAAGCACCTTTCTGTGTGGAGCCTGGCGCCGCCCGTAAAGCTGAAGAAAGATTGGACGAAGTTTTAGTTGAGATTCGGAAGCTGTGCGAAGTCCAAAGGCAAGTTGTGTTGGACGAGGCCGCCCAGGGGCACGACTGTGGTGTTGAGGGCCAAGAGCTGAATCGGCTAATGGAGCTGGAGGAGGATCTGGCAAGGGAGCTGTCCCAGTGCCGGGGTGAGATCCTTGAGTGTGAAGATTCGGGAGAGGGACAAGAGCCTATCATGCGTGTTCGGGCGCTCCAAGAGGATGTTGGAGGTGGGTGTCAAGCAGAGGTGGAGGGAGAATCCGGAGCACCACTTCAGACGAAAATCATCTCGGTTGAAGAAGTCCTCAGGGACCTGGATTCGTGGTGGGGCCCCATGCTTGCGGAGTACCAGGCCTTGGTGCTAGAAAAGCAAGTAGTTGTTCCGGTGACCGCCAAGGAACTGGCCAAGCGCGAAGCTGCGGGTGAGAGCTTCCAGGTCATTCCGGCCAAATTGATCTTCACCTTGAAAGCGTTTACGGCGCGGCGCAAAGTGCGCTGCGTAGGATGTGGGAACTACTTGAGTGCAGACAATTATACGGCCAATCAACTCTACGCCGGAGGATTGGACGTTGTTTCCCTTCGATGCTGTTTGGTGCTTATGGTTTCCAAACAGTGGTCTGCAGGAGTAGTTGATATAAAAACTGCTTTTTTAAACGCAGAACTGGAGAAAGCAGATCTAGGTGCCAAGAGAGTCATAATCCGTACACCAGGGTTGTGGAGGCGCCTGGGAATCTGCGAAGAAAGTTTTTGGGACGTCCACAGGGCGATGTACGGGTTGCAAATAAGCCCGGCGGCTTGGGCCAGATGCCGTGACCGTACATTACCTTGCCTGCGACTACAGACCTGTGCTGGTCTTGTTCGACTCGAGCAGTTCAAGTCAGACCCCAATATCTGGGCCATCGTACCTTCGAACCTCCAGGATCCCGTTGATCCCACGCAGCGTTTAGGACTGTTGTTGGTGTACGTGGATGACATGATGGTTTTGAGTACGCCCCAGATTATTGCAGAGGTCATTGCTGAACTTGGCAAGCAGTGGGAGCTGTCAAAGCCGGAACTCCTGGAAGATGGTAACGTGCACTACCGCGGAGTGGAAATCCGAAGAGGAGACGGTGGAGTTCTCGTCCACCAAGACTCCTACACCCGGGAGCTGCTGTCGAGGTATCCCGATAAGGGAGGAGCGGAAGTTCCAGCTCTTAAGCTACCTGACGTGGCCCAGCTGGAGAAGCAAGACCCTCAGACCGTGAAACGAGCCCAGCAGGTGGCTGGGGAACTTCTTTGGCTCAGCGGCTTAACGCGACCCGAGATCCAATTCGGGGTAGGTGCCATCTCGAGGATGATTGCTGTGAACGCGGAGGAGGCCGTCGCCATGGGGGAGCAGGTTATCAAATACCTTCGAAGGTTTCCTACGCGAGGCCTGTGGTACGGCCAGTCGGAGATGTCCTGGGGGGAGGAAGGAGATCTTTCGCAACCCATGGGCCTGCACTCACTTGTGGGATTCAGTGATGCAAGCTTCGCTCCATCTGCCAGCAGATCCCTTCAGTCAACGCTGGCATATTACAACGGAGGGTTGATTGCCTGGTCGTCGACCAAACAGGGACTCATCACGCTGTCGACGGCAGAATCGGAACTGGTTGGTATAACGTCCCTGTTTTCCGACCTTCGTGCTTTGGAGCCACTAGTACAAGAAATCGACGGTGCCCCGTTGAAGCTGCAAATGCATTCGGATAGCCAAGCGGCTACTGCTATATGCAACACGCAGTCCAATAATTGGCGCACCCGGCATTTAAGACTCCGAGCAGCCTATGTCCGGGAAGCTCTAGAGTCGGGTCGTTATAGCTTGCACCACGTGAGCGGCATTAGCATGAAGGCAGATATCGGCACGAAGCCATTGCCGGCTCCGAGGTTTCAGCAACTGGTCGCGGCACTGGGGATGAAGGAGCCATCAATGACTGGTACCGAGAAGGTGAAGTCGCTGGACGGCGCTTTAGAGGAGAAGATAAGATCCTGCTCACGTGCCTAGTGGTTGCCAGTTTGCTGGACCCGGTCGAGGCTCATAAGAGCGAGAATCCGGGCCTTGGAAATCATGATTGGCAGTTTCTTTTGGGTTTAATGGTTGTGACTGTTTGTTGTTGGGAGGTTGCTAAGATATTAGGCAGTAAGTTTTGGAAGGGATGCCAGGGTGTTATAGCTTGGTTTTGTCAGCGCGAAGCCCTTGGAAGCAACTCCACCGCTGAAGTTCGCGTGGCTCGATACATCGATGATGTCGTGGTCATTGGGCCCAGGGAAGCAGTGGCGCAGTTCAACAGGGAAAGGACGGAAGAGACGACCGCCTTAGAAGGGCCAGGAGCCCCGTCCACTGCGCTAGAGGTTGAAGGACCGCGAAGACGGTCTCGACGGCCGGTTTTTCAATTCAATCCCAGAGACCATGATGACTGGCCTTCACCGATGAGCTTGACTGTTACGCTGGTTGGGCAAGATCGGTTTGAACACCGACCGCAGTGGCGAAGTTTGATAAGATGGCACGTGGAGGCACGAGTTCGTCTCTTCAATCCGGAGAACACCAAGTCCCCTGTGGCCGTAAGGATGCTGACAGGGCGTAGGAGAACTTGGATCTTCGACGCCACGGAAGGTGCGCCCAATGGTCGTCGCATGCATGCAGACAACTGGAGAGTTGTACAGGACAAACAGGAAACGTTACCATATTCATGGGTAGGCTGTACAGAGTTTGAAACCTTTCTGCTCTAGGGAGTTTGGTCCTTCTGACCAAAGGGGGAGTGTGTGTGGAGCAGAAAAACCTTTGTTGTGGGTAGCCATGTGTGGCTTAAAGCTGACGGCATCCATAACATAATACTTCATCTTTTGCAAAGGCGTTGAGTATGCAGGTAGCTACCAACCAGGATCGTCACACTTTTGTTGCCTTCTTGGAGTAAAAAGGGCGACCTGTGTCAAGCAATGACAATACAACGCCAATACTACCCCAGCATAAGCCCTCTTTAACCCTCTCATAATGTAAACCCCATATGATCCCTAGACCCTACACACTCATTAGTAGCTTCCATTTTCTTTTCCGTTATCACTACTAA